TGACTATGACATTCAGTCTGGAATAAGAGTAACGCTTGCTGACCTCAAGTCAAACTCATCTTTTTTCTGGACTGAAATAAAATAAGTGGCTGGATAGCTCACTTGGTTAGAATGTCATTCCAATACGCCAAGGTTGTAGGGTTTGATCTCTAGCCAGGGCACATACAAGCAGCAACCAATGAATGCATAAATAAGTGGTACAATCAACTGATGTTTCTCCCCCCAACCCTCTCCCTCTCTCTTTCTCTAAAATCAATAAATAAAAACTAAGGGGGAAAAAACCCCAAACCTATAAAGCCTAGTGTACTAGAACAACCAGGCTCTACTCTGGTGCCTGCTGCTGGTCAATGTGATCTTCTAGAGCGGTCCTTAACCTCTCAGCCTTGGTTTCTTCAATGCGTGATGATACTCTGTCAGTCTCAGATTTTGTATCTGAATTCAGACCATGGTCTCCACTGCCTCTGAGCAATTCTGGAAACCACACCCAAGATAACCAAAGCTAAAAATAAATAGCAAGAGGCACCAAGGAAGAGAGCAAAACAAAATCCTGTGGCAGGAATCTCACCCATCCAACTCAGTATCTGCCAGACTGAATCCAGACTACCATAGGAATGCTTTAAGACTCTCCTGGTCACCACACAATTTGTTGAGTCATATGTAAACTTATTCATTCACTTATTAAACACTGCGCACTATGTAAAGGGAACTACGAAAGTGAGAGACAAAGACCCTTCCCCTCTTGAGGATTTGCATATTTATGTTACCTAAACAAAGGTCTAATTATGTCCTTCATTTTTCCATTGCCTAGAAGATTTGTTGTACATAAAGCCACATAAATTCCTATACTTAGGCCTTGGAGGAAATGAGCCATAAAAGAAAATTTCAAAATGATGTCTGCCTTCCTTCTCATCAACTAATTCCAACAACTTATTTCTACTTACTCCTTTCTTTTTTATGCAATAAAGAATCAGTTTGAAACCTTTTTTATATCTTTAACATTTAAAGGAAATTTAAACATATCTGCTTTAACATTTAAAGGACATTTTTGTTTATGGTTAAGTGTACCTTGAAAATATACCATGAATAAAAGAAGTAAAACAGTTAAAATGTGCCAGAAAAAGAACAATGGGTACTACCAGTATATCTGTTTATGTATTTACATACATACATACATATATGTGCCTACTGTATGTCTCTCCCAGTAATTCCTAGGTCCTCCATTAAAAACATTTATTTACTTACGTATTCAAATTATTGTTAGCTGTTAAAAGACCTATTTGAGATGAAAGAAATCTTTTCCATTGTTGGTAAAGCTGGGCTTTGTTGTGAATAATGTCTGGAAAACAACTTAAAGTCCTGATAACTTCAACATAAGGTCTCAGTCTATTTAATTATTACGTCATCATATGGTTTGTGTCCTTAATTTGATTTCAATGTCCCACTACTCACAGAGTATAAATCCTAAGAACATGCATATGTTAAGAAAAAATCCACAAAACAACTGGTAAAATTTATGTTTAATGATAGTCAATTAAGACCTTCTACAGGCAGGGTGACAACCTGCTAAGAAATGGTATGATAAAAATAGATCAGTTCCAGAAAAATAAAATGGAAACTTAACTGTCATTATCTTTGAAATTAATGCAGCAAAACAGAAACCACCTTCTAACTAATTTGTCTACCTTACTGGCCTTGTTTCTTCATCCCCATTTGTAGCTCTGTAAAAACAGTGAAGAAGATTGTTTAATTGGGGACATGATACTACATTTTCCTGTTTTCCTTTCATCTCACTAGCCACACTTTTCTTTTAAACTGATTTGGGAGAAGGAAGAACAGGGGTGGGGGGGACAAGAGACAGACAGATGGACACTGATTTGCTGTTTCATTTATTTATGCATTCATTGGTTGCTTCTTGTATGTGTCCTGACCCAGGAAAAAACCCACAACCTTGATGTATGAGGACAATGTCCTAACCAACTGAGCTATGCAGCTATGGCAAGTGGCCTCACTTCTTAATCTCCTTAGTAATGTCTCCTCTTCATCCTCCCCACCTCTGAATGTTGGAATGTCTCCAGGACTCAGTGCTTGTGCCTCTTCTCTTTACTATCTACAGTGACTCCTTGGGTGATGTTACCCAATGTCATGGCCTTCAATTTATATCTAAACAAAAATTGAGACCCCTGAAAGAAGTCTTGCCTACCTAGTATCTCCATCTGAATGTCTAATGGGCACCTAAAATCAACATGTCCAAAACTGAACTAATCTTCTCCAGCCTGATTCTCCACTCCATCAGTCTTCCTATTTCAGTAAATAGAGATGCTTATAATTGTTTAGGCTGAAACTCTTGGAGTCATCTTTGATTACTTTCTTTTAATATGAATACAATGCCCAGTTCATCAACAAGTCCTGCTGGCTCTACCTTCAAAATACATCCAGCTTATCAAAATGTCACTGCTTCTGCCTTGTTCCAAACCACCACCACCTCTCACTTCAAATAGTGGAAAAGATCCTCCTACCTGGTCTGTCTCCTTGCCCTGATACAGTCTAATCAACATAGCAGCCACAGCGATCCTTCAGAGGACATATCAGATCTCCTTACACTATTCAAAACCTTCCAGCGGTTTCCCTGAGAATTGTCTATGAAGCCCTATACAATCTCTCCCACTCTTTCTTTATGGTCATATCTACTATCATCCACCCCCCTCACTCAGCTCCATCCACACCGGCCTCCTTGCTGTTGCCTGCATAAATGAGGCACTATCCCACCTCAAGTCTTTGCAGGTGCTTTTTCCTCTGCCTGTAATGCTGTTCCCTAAGACAGCCCATGTGGCTTGCTGCCTTAAATCCTTCAGAGCTCTGTTCAAATGCCAACTTATCCCTAAGGCCTTCCCTACTACCTTATTTAAAATTGCAACCCCACCTCGCCACCACTCTGCTGGCATCTGGCCTAGTCTCATTTCCTTGCCTTATTTTTCCTCATAGCAAGCATTAACATCTGGTGAACTAAGTATTTCATTATTTGTTTACACTAGAATGAAAACAGTAAAATGGCATGGATTTTTGACTGCTTTGTTCACAGTTGTCCCCAGTGCCTAGAACACACCTAGAAAAAAATCAATACCTAAAGGCTTTCAAAAACCTTTCATTGAACTATTTGTTGATACCGAAATATTACCAGGCAAAATTGTCACTTGAAAACACCAAGTAATATGAGGAACAGAAATCTCAATCACCCACACTCACACATAGTATTTCCAAATGGAAAAAAGCCAGTTTGCGTCTAAAATGTGCATTAAAATTAATTTTTTACTTTTTAATTCTGTTAGAGCCTTAGCACTGTGCCTAAAGAGTCCCAAGCTACACCACCAGGTTTTGTTTTAGCTTTACTAGGCATATAGACTTGAGATGGAAGGAAAAAATAAATACAGGCCTTTTCTTTTCATTTGTCACCACTGACAGAAGGCCTCCAAGTGACCTGGTGCCACAAATGTTTAAGGATGTTTAGGGAAGAAGTGATTCTAGAAAATAAAATAATCCTTTCACCAATTCCCAAAGAGGAATCTCTCCAAATACCTCTGCAGACTTTTCCCCCCTAACTTTATATCCATTAACAAAGTCATCCTTAATATGTATGTACATGAAATCGTTGTTAGAGAAACATGATACATAATTATACATACAGAAAAACTGGTACTCATCCCTCTTTTTTTAAAAAAAAATTACGCTTAAGAGTTTTTGTTGAAACGTTTTGCTGTGAAACTGACTTAAAAAGGTACTCAGTTAAGACGTGGGTTGATGGGTACTGTATCTTAATGCTGAACAGTTTTATTTACAGTTCTATATTATTTACTATATTATTCCCAGCCCCCACCCACCTACCCAAAGGAAAAGAGAAAAACAACACCACCACATTGGTGCAATCAGTAAGGAATGCTATGTCCAAAGGAAGCTGTTCTGAAAGGCTATGACCTAAGTGTTTAACACTGACATAGATAAAGTTGGGGCGGTAGATGTCACTTGTCTCATCCATTAAAAAAAAAAAAAAAAAAATCAAGATTCAGATCCAAGAAGGCAAGACGAAAGAAACAGGCGTGAAAAATGAAATCAGTCGTTTTTCCCCCAGCCTCCTCGCAACACTGCGCAACCGTCCTCCTCTCCCCTCAAATCCTTGAAGGGCCCCTTTTCCTATCGTCGGTTCCACAGCTCAGCCCTGCACTGCGCCATCAAAAGAGTCAAGATGAGGGACCGCAGCCCCTCTAGGAAAATCCAGGCAATAACACACGGTGCGCCCAACACAGGGGAAAACATCCAACTACTAAAACTCGGGAACAGTATACAGTGTCAACAAAGCATCGTGCCGGTCCCGGGCGTTCAAAGGTCCTCGCCAGCTCCGTGACACTGCCAAATCGACAGGATTCCAAAAGGTGACTCGACTGTCATCGCAGAAGCCGGGAACAGCCAGGGATGAAGTCCAACTAATCTTTCACCCTGCGCTGGCCCCACAGCCCAGCGGTCTCCGACGCCCCTTCCCCCAAGGGGACCAGAGCGTCGCGTCACATGCCGGGGCTGAAACTTCGCGGCCGGTGCGTAGAGGATGGGGGGTGGGATACGAGGGATCGCAGCAAGGCCGGGGAGTTAACATGCCCGGTGACTCACTAGCCGCCTCCATGTGCAGCTGCTGGGGAAGGGGCTGGCGTGCCGGCAAGGGCCGTGCACTCAGGGCCACCCCCGCCTCTGCCCCCGCGCCCGTTATTAATAACCCTGAGCCTGGAGGCAAAAGCCCCCGGCGGGCGTCCTGGGCGGCGCGGCGCCCGCGGGCTCAGAAGCGCACTCAGCACGCGGAATAAATAACAATGTCATTAAATTGCCACCCGAGCGCCCATCCGGCCGGGGAGTGGGCGCCACCAGGAGATGACTTTGTCTGGAGCCTGCACCCCGCCTCCCGCGCGTCCCCGCGTCCCTGAGGGGGGATCCCCCGCGCCGCCGCAGCCTGGCCTTACCCGCCAGCTCATCGGGCTCCAGCCCGCTGTCCGCGTCGATCCCGCACAGCACGAAGTAGTGCGCGAAGCGGCAGGCGGCCGGGGAAGAGCCCGAACCTGGGCCGGGGGCCGCGCTGCTCCCGCTCATCCCGGCCCCGCTGCTCCTGCCGCCGCCGCCGCTCGGGAAGGCTGGCTGCCGCTCCGGCTGCGGTCTCCGCGCGCCCGTCCTAGGGCGACACCGGCGCGCCCATGGCCGCACTGCCGCCGCCTGTCTCCGCAGCCTCGCTCCTCGCGCGGCGCCGGGGAAGCGGCCGCGAGCTCGCTCCCAGTCAGTCCCGCTCCCGGTCCCGGGTGGGGGAGGGGCGCGAAGGGGGAGTGTCGGCGGAAGAGGCGCACGCCCGCCGCAGCTGCTCGCGCGAGCTGTGAGCCCGGCGTCTGGCGCCCGCCGGTCAGCTGAGCGGCGCTTGGGCTGTGGGAGCCCAGCGAGGGCGGGGGCGCCGGGGACCAGCCGTGGGGCGGGAGAACGGAGACGCCGGGGAGGGAGCGCGCGCGAGAAGCACGCGTTTCGGCCGTGCGCGCACGCGCCCAGCGGGCTCCCGGGAAGCGCCAGGCGCGGTCGGGATGCGTGCCCGCCAGCCGGGGTTGCGGCGCTGGGGCCGACCGCACGCACACACACAGTCGCCGCCTGCGCCCAGCCAGCCAATTAGAGGGTTAGCCACAGAGCGGGATTCTGTCTTCTAAATGGATACTGCCTATTCGGTTTTGGGCACGGTTAACAGCCACTCTGAGATTATTTCCCACAACGGTGTGGACCATCAACATCTTTTAAACTGTGACATGAGCAGATGTCAATCTCATTTTAAGATCCTAGGCCTTGAATCCTTCTTCCAGCCTTCACGCCCATTCACAAGCCATCTCGCCCCAGTGGACTGCTGATAACTCAGCGGGGAGCCAGGGGGCAAGGGAGGACAACTGAATATCTTCAAAGGCACTGAGACTTCTAAAAGGACTACCTCTCCCAACTTCTCCTCCTCTCCCCCGTTCTCCCACCCCACCCCCGCCAATTCCGTAATTTATCCCGGCATTTTCCAGGTCAGTGTAAAATAGCCTAGGCGCTCCAGTTCCCCAGCTCTGTACTCATTTGATATTATCAGCTCTCCCTCCAGGTACGATCTATCGGAGACTGATAAGGCAAAAGGAATTTGACCTTGAACTCAGCTTCTCACAAGGCCCTGGCTTTCTTACCTGCTATTTCCTCTGACTTATCCATTCTTTAGAAGAAGCTCACCCACAAGTTCTTACTCCTTTGAACGCTGAAAAACTGAATGCATTGCATCTTCACATTGTTGTCCCTTTCACGCCATTCCCTCCTCTCTTCTTTCAGGATCCTGGTGTAAGATGGGATGGGCTGGGGTGGGGGCATCATGAACACCACAGTAGACGCACACAAGCAAACCTTCCAGGGAAGTGAACTGAGAGAACAAACCTCAATTATTTGACCGAATAAAGTTCTTCCTGGAAGATATGTATGCATGCATACCATCATTTACTGTAGCTTCCATCCTCATTTCTCTCTCAATTTTCAAATGTAAGAAAAATCAAGGAATCAGGATGAGCCACAGCCTGGATAAATGATCTTCAGCTTCTATTGCACTCTGCCCTTTTCCTTCAAAACACTTGTAATGACTTTTTCTGTGCCTGTCTTCATTAGCTGGATTATAAGATGCACAGAGCAGGAGTCATGCTCTCTGTTTCATTGTATTTTTAATATCTAGAAGAACCCTGGTCCCACATAGCTCCTCAACTTATGTATTTTTAAAGATTTTGTTTATTTATTTTTAGAGAGGGGGAAAGGGAATGAGAGAAACATCCATCAGTTGCCTCTCGCACTCCCCTAGCAGGGACCTTGCCTGAAACCCAGGCAAAGGCCCTGACCGGGAACCCAACTGATAACCTTTCAGTTTACAGGACAACGCCCAGCCCACTGAGCTGCACCAGTCAAGGATCAACTTATGTTTATGGAATGAATGAAAGAAGGTGGTTATTTAGGGAGTAACAAGTTGCCATGCTACTAGGAAAATATACAAATTTTAATATCTATAACATATTTATGAATATATGCTAGCTTGTTACACAATTATTGCTTTTCCTCATATAGAAGGTACTGAAATATGTAAAACAATTTTACAACTAAGAAGGGGAGGGAGTGACTGGATGTATATGTGTTTCTCCTATTTTTGTTGGTAGTTTCTTACAGAATGTTTGTTAGATTCTAGGCTAATCAAACAAAGCACAATAGAAAATTAATTTACTGTTTGCACTAACCAACAGGTATGTCACTTTTTGTTCATTTGAAAGTAACTGATTTATCAGCTTGAAAGCTCTATATTAATGTTTTTAAGATGATGAAATAGAATAAAGCCCAAACGGAATGTATTGAATTATAACATATAAATCTCTTCAAAGTAGACAAAAATCTCTAAAATCTATCTTAAGGATTTCAAGAAAATAGTCATGTCTTGCAAGATTACACACTGATTTGAAAGTATGAGGGTGCATTTCTAATTATCACTTCAGAATGACACTGTGTAGGTATATTCTGTGTTAAGCTACAATGAAACAGTTGAAAAGATAATCAAGAATTAACTATACATCATTGCATACATGTTTTTCTCCAACATAATGACAAATAAGTTAGCTTAGTGAACACAAGTGACTTGAAAATAAATCTTCCAAAATATTTAAATTGTGTTGAGGAAAGCGATCATATCCTCTTCCCATGCTAAAATAATCCTTGTCAAAACCATTCTTTGGGGGGAAATGGGGATAACTGTAATTGAACAACAATTTTAAAAACTATTGAAATAAAAAACATTCTTCACCTCTATTACGCCATCCACACATGCACACAAACAAGAGAGACAGGATTGCTAAAGTATTTAGAGCCCCAGACGTTCAGTGGGCCACATTTTCCTTGTAGTCAGTCATTGTATGCCACCAGCCTAGCAGTGCTATCAATTTCTGCTCTTCTGCTTCCCTCAGGCAGCAGCGCTGGCAGGGCTCAGCTACTCTGAACATGTCTTGCCCTCTGCTTAAGGTTTTACCAGAGTCCGTCAAAGGTCGCAGATTGCTGCTCAGATACTTAGAGCAGTGTCTTCCAGTCTGCTGTTTTTTCCTTGTGCATTTGCTGTCCAAATTGAGTGGAGAGTTTATTGGAATGGAGACATTAATGCCACCTTTAACCCCTACCTAACACAAAACATGACATATAATCATAATTCCAAAAAAAGGAAACCTTGAATGACATTTTCTTCTGCCAGGGTTTTAGCTTTCTGGGAAAATCTTATTGCAACAAAAGGTTATTTGGAAAATCAATAATCGTATTCCTTTATCATAGTTTCAGAAAAAGGGTCAATTTATGCCAATAAGAGTTGGGTACAAAACAGATGACTCACAATTTTGCATAAATCTGTTTCTACCTCACACAATAAGTCCAATATTATCCCCAAAAAACTCCTTTGTGTAAGTCATTGTGCTATGCTTTGAGCATATGAAACTAAAAAGGCATGATCCCTCCTCTTCAGGAGTTTATAATCTAGTAGGAAGGAAAATATTTTTCAAAAATAATCAAAATACCAGAAAGAGATGATAAAAAATAAAATGTGGTATATTCCACATGGCAAGTTCAGAAAGTGATATGGGATTTAGTGAGCAGAGATATCAGATCTTGTTAAGAAATCCAGTTAGATGTTATGAATGTGCTAATATTTGACAAGGGCCTTATAAACGGAGTAAGATTTTGTCAGGTATATATGGGAAGGAAGACATTCCAGTCACAGAAGAAATGACTGGAGTATAAAAAGTGTGTAAGGGACATTAGTTCAGTTGGAGCCAAAGCATAAGGAGCCTTGAATGCCAGGCACGTAGGGCTGACTCACTTTCCTATACTCCTATACCTACCTTGCTGATACCCGAAAGCTAGTCTTAGCTAGCTTTGAGTGAACTTAACACAGAATATTTGAGATCAGCTAAGCTAGCCCCTTCATTTTACAAATAATTATCTAAGTCTCACAGAATGTTGATGACCCACACTTTGTTAGTGAACAAGAAGCAAGGCATAAAAGACAAGATTATAGGATATCTTAAATTCTAATGTATATAAACCTATGAAATCTCTTTACCTGAGTTTACTAATCTTTCCCCCACATGCTACTTGTAGCTTCTTTTCAGAGATCTACTTCAAAATTTGATTATTTTTCTTTTTAAAATAAAAAAATTTTAATATACAGAAAGACTAAGATAATAAACACCTACATATGCATCACCTAATTTTAATATTAACATTTTGCCATTTTTGTTTCATCTATTTGTTTTTTATTAAAGTATTTGAAAATAAGTAAGGCATAACACTTGTCAATATTTTGATTATGTCTATCTAAAGTTTCACATGGACTTTTTTTTTTTTTACTTTCTCTCTGAAATCTCCAGACTTTCTTCTCTCCCTTTACTGCACATAAAATGACCAACTTTATGTTCCTATTCATCACCTGGTCCTATCCTCTCACACTCTTTTCTCCATTAATACTATAGTAGATTCATATATGTAATGGTTTCCTCAATACTGCTTCCATCTTCCTAGAACCCACTTCCCTTCATTCCCCCCAATTTGTTCTCTCAGGAGCTACAATGATATGCTACAACTTCATATGCTCATACAAACACAACACAGTGGACTGATCTAAAAGAAGCCTAATGGCCCAGGCTGAGCCAATGACCAATTTCCCATTGGATTTGGACTTAGGTCCCAAAGAGTTAAGGTGGTCTCTCTGCAGGTAGACAACATTGTTAGCTGAAAAGCTCAGAGATGTCAGTGGTCATGTTTCTATCATGCGAGGAAAGATAGCTTGCAACAACAGAGGAGAATAAGGCTGACACTCAGAACAGAGAAGAGAATTGGAGCAGACGTTCTCTATTGTTATCATGAATTTTACTTTTTTTTCCTAAGCTAATTTAAATTGGGATTCTGTCACATGCAGCCAAAGTGTGATCTGTATGTTCAGTTTGGCCTGGGGGATAGCAATAAGAAGAATGGGGAAAACCTACAAACTACCCCTGACTTAAAGATATGAAGACCACTCTAAACATTTACCTACCCCCAAGTTCAAAAGGCTTAAAAGAAAAGCTGTAATTCTGTGTATGTTTTCAAGGTCTCTCTATAATTATAAATACATAAACCTATAAAAACTAATTATACCTTATCTATTTATTGAGACAATAGCAAACGTATATTAAAAACATAATAAAGTTTTTTTCTCCTGTTGGTA